TTTCCCTTCACTTCTCATATTCATAATGTGTAACTAGGTCCTGGCTAGATGTCCTCCCACAGAGAGCTTATGATGTAACACGAGTCCTCCTTTATCAATTTTGCAAGTCTAAAGCTTCGTTCAGATCAGATAAGGGCAACCGTTCTCTCACGTTACCTTTTTTTATTGAAGGTTCCAATCACCTTTGTGCAGCTGGAGTTGTCTCCTCCACACACTCCGCACTTGTCATACTGCAGCTTCGAGCCAATGATGCCGTCACAGCCCGTCCTCACACACTTTCCCCGGACGCAGACGGAATTGCTGTATGGCCTGCATTCCGTTCCATCGGTCACCTGAATAATGAGAAACACGTTAGCAGTGGGAAATACTTGGGCCTGCGTAGGTGGGTTCTTTGATAAAATTGCAAGTTCTAATTTGGGAGTTTTAAGTTTGATTGGAATAGCTCGTACTTTGGAAACTAAACAACCAATCAAAAAAGAAAAAAAAACCATAGTTTCCAGGAGTATTCAACTGAAAAATTCTTGACATATTGGCAGAAAGAAGAAGAACTGGGATAGATTGGGGTTATGCCCTGTCTCTCTTCTTTATCTCTTGAGCTTAATTCCGAATGTGTTAGGAGACCAAGGTCCTAGTCTCCATTTCTGTGTGCGTAATACATTCCCATGGTATAGTCTTGCCTTTTTATTGCTAGAAACAATCTTTCACTTAGTGTGTGGGACTGTCTGTCACTTGTGTGGAGAGCAGAATACGAGCAGGCTCACGAATGCAGACATCCTTTTTGTTTACACAATTGTTTTTTGTTAATTAATTTTATAGTTGATTTACAACGTTGTGCTAGTTTCTGCTGTGCAGTTAAGTGAATCAGTTATACATATGCATTATATCCACTCTTTTTTAGATTCTTTTCCTATATAGGTCATTACAGAATATTGAGTACAGTTCCCTGTGCTATACTGTAAGTTCTTGTTAGTTATCTGTTTTATATATAGTAGTGTGTATGTGTCAATCCCAATCCCAATTTATCCCTTCCTCCCTCCCCTCTTGGTAGTTTTTCTATATCTGTGACTCTATTTCTGTCTTGTGCATAATTGTTATTACTGTAACAAAATTGAAAATCTACACTGGACAGTCACAACCTTGTAACGGTTGGAAAGCATTATGTTGAACTGTGAGACACTGAAGTAGAGAAAAATTCGTGTAAAAAAGAAGTCTGGGAAGGTCAGAGAAAAGTACTTACTGGAAGAGACTGAATATTTTTGAAAAAAAAGAATTACATATTTAATAAGCTAGTTACAAAATACTATGTATATGGACTCAGTGGTTTGTGCATATAAGTATGTATAAGTAACATATATAGTCATATGTGTAAACATACATATTTTGTATTTGTGTATATACAAAACTCTTTCATATAAGTGTGTGTATATGAGGGTGTATATGTGTATAAAGTGAGGTAGGGTATTCTTCAACAGGTTAACAGCTCTCTAAATGATTATATTTCCAGGTAATATTTTTGCTTTTATCTCTCTATAATATTTTTAAATGAAAATGTATTATTTTTCAATAAAAAGATAAAACATTTTAAATGTTACATAACTTGGACATTAACTTATTTTTCAATAATATGTCATAAATATCTGAAGACCAGTTACAGAGATGGTTTTAAATATAGCACCTATTTGCAAATTAGATAAAATGTTTTAAACTGCCGCATAATGTTGCTTGTGAGAAATGAAACTTCAATAAGTTAGAAAGTGCTCTTCTGTGGAAAACAAGGGATAATTTCACATGCATATATTACAAATGTGTATAACTAAAAGGACATTGATTCATTTTAAAGGTGCAAGACATTTTAAAGTCTAGGTCAGGGATGATGATCTTGAATCTATCTTCATGAATCACCAAAGAAATTCTTCAGTAAAAGATGACAGAAAAATAGAAAAGTTTCTTGTTTTATAGTCCCCTTTACAAATGTACCTAGGGAATACTATTTTGAAGTTAAGTTTGCAATTTACCTTCTTGACAGAGAGTTACACTTTTTCAAAAATAGCTTTTAAAACATTTACTTGTTCTGTTTACAAAATCCTTTTGATTCATTGTAGCAAGTTTGAAAATATAGAAATTACAGAGGTGAAAATGAAACCTTCCAAAACCTAGCCACTCCCCCAAATAATGACTGTTTACATTTGGTATGTGCAGGCTCCATTCTACCAAATAATTTCCACCAAGGACGCCTACTGTTTCTGGACCGTCTGCATGCAGTTACCTTTGGAGAAAACACTACGTAGTAGCCAGTGCCCTTAGCTCTGCAGGTCAGTTTGCACACATCTCCTGGCAGGATGCCTGCATATTTGGGAACCCATTCCACAAATGTTTTGACTCCTTTTGCATCAGACTGATATCCATTTTTGGCCTCACACTGCTCATGACGAAAAGATTTACCTAAAAATCAAACATGTCACATTATTACTCTCTCTGTTCTGAAACTTAGATATATTCTTGTTCATTTAAATACATTTAAGGAGATGAGAGATGATATTTTTTTTCCCCAGAGTCTCTCTACACCAGTGTTGAAGGATTTTTATCTTCAACACAGAGTTGAAAGCAGCAATTACTTTCTTCCTACTCCCTGAACACTCAGTTGTTTATAATAATAATTTAAAAATCACTCATGTATTTGTTATTGATTTGCATACTGGTGGAACTGTGCAGTACAAGATTAATAGGCTATTTCTCCAGCCTCCGCTATTTATTACTGCTAGAATACAAATTACACCCGACACATGATGGTTGCTGACACTTGGGAGCAGCGTACCATTGGCTGGGCAGGGTAAGACACTGCAGGAGCGGTAGATGGCCCTCTTCCCTGTGCAGTAACGGCCATTGTTTCTGGGTGCGGGGTTATTGCAGTGGCGATAAGCAAACTGTACTCCTCCCCCACATGAGCGAGAACACTGGCCCCAGGACCCCCAGGATCCCCAGCTGCCATGGCTCGATGTCTAAAACAGAAAATAGAAGATATTTTAACTGAGAAGGGAGGAAAACATTCAAAATGTACATTTGGAAATCACATGCATTCAATGACTCAGTGGAATGTACATTTGGAAATCACTTGAATTCAGTCACTCGGTGGACACTTCACCACAGTTAAATTTTCACTGAATTTAACATGGCCACAGGTATTGAACACTCTGGAATTACAATGTGATTCCAAATCTTGGCAATCCACCTTTTCTGTCCCCCACCCCCCAGCACTAGAGGGTCTGAACACTTCACCCTAAGTACTGAGCACACTGCAAAGATTGCTCGTGGCTTCTTTGGACCTTCTGATACTGTGCATTTCTGTTAATAACCACCGAACCACGGTTCACTTTGTGTCCAGCCTGATCTTGCATCTTTAAAGAACTGTGTGATGCTAAAGATTCTGTATGATTCCAGGTTGATTATGCTTCCATCTTTTCTCCCTCTTTAGCACTGAAGTTCTGTAGTCCCTTTGTTGACATCACACGTCCCACCTGTGACAGACCCTCTGCCACATGCATAAATGTATCTGACCTGGACTTGGCTTCATTACACCCTGTAAAGAGGAAATGGGACAGATACTGAAGAGCACCCAATCACATGCACCCACATCACAGGGAATGAAGAGTCCTGTGATGACATACCAGGTTTATTGCTATAGAAACACGGCAGGCAGCAGGAAGCTGAGAGACTCCAAAAGGAAGATACTAGAAACGCCTTTGCTGAGGGAATTCCTGAAGAACTTCCTCTGGTTGTATGTGTCAGGGTATCTGTGTCAGGGTATCTGAGGATGCTTGCTTGTGTGTTAGTCTTGAAAGGCACAGGCAACACGCCTATGGCAACACTCTTCTAGGGACTTTGAAAATGTTATGAGTGAGAGGGAACAAATGCTTTGCTTGGACCTTGACAGTGAAGGTGGCAGTTGCTGACCTGAAGCTGGACCGGGTGCATAGGGAGGGAGGAGGTGTCTCCCTGGCGCAGGTGTGGCTATATTATAGTTCCTGAAGTTAGATTAACTTGCCACGAGGGGGAAAGCATGACCATTTTGGAGTTCACCAAGTATGCATGAGGACCATGTGTCAGCTAACTTTGCTGCTATTTCCTTACCGAATTTAAATAAATGTATTCCAATAACTTTACGAGCAGTTTGAAAGTAAACTCCCAAGTGGTAATTTGGGGCCCTACGTGGAGTCTCAATTAGACAGAATTTGGGCTGTCTACTTATTTGCTACAGGTTATAACCTGAGATCTGCATTTTCTCCAGTAATTGACAGCTGGGGATGGCTCTTGCAGGTAAAGGAGGGAGCTGTAAACAGATTCCTCAAGGAAAAATATTTTAACTAGGAAATAGAGCCTTCTGTGGCCAGTTCCCACAGGTGTCACAGGAAGGTACATCAGACCTTAGGTCTCCAGGCCCTGCGTGACAAGAAAATCACTTACTGAATAATATTTTTTCTTGGTCTTGTCCACACACTTGCCCTGCAGGCAGATCCTCCCTTTTCCACATGGTGTCCCTTCCACAGCTGGCAGCTTCTTGGTCAGACACACCATCTGGCCCTGGCGCACCACAGCGCACCAGAGGCGGGCACACACGTCCATCCCGGGACACACCGAGTACTCGGGCCCGAAGGTCAGGTTGCACTGCTGGCTGGCATCGTAGGTCTGTCCCGGGAGTTCCTCGGGGCCCAGGATCTGCTTGCGTGGCAGGTCTAGCAAACAGTTACCTAAAAGAATAACCAAGATTGACCACTGTTCTGTGTTTCTGTTTCAAACCTTGAAAATTATGGATCTGAAAATGCAAGACTCCAGCTGGTGCTGAAACACGATGCATCTACAGATCTGCAGTGTGATGCCCTGGGGAGGGGACTCCCTGTGGATGAGGCTGAGTGCCTCTGTGAGCTCTCCAGCACCCACTAGGATTTCCCATGGATGTTGTGCTCTGGGGTATACATAATGATGTGCAGTGGTTTGATTAAATAAAATTATTTCATAATAATTAGCTGTGAAAATAGTCATTGTGCTGAGGGACTAACAGAAACTGGGTTGGACCTAGAGGAAATAAGATAGTGGGTATAATAACAATAACAACAACAATAATAATAAATAGGTGTTTACAACTTTGAGAAACAGAGTTTGTCCTTGCACCCTTTCTATATCCCTTTCTCCACTTCCAACTACCCCATTCTTTTTTTTTTTTTTTTTTGACGTACGTGGGCCTCTCACTGTTGTGGCCTCTCCCGTTGCGGAGCACAGGCTCCGGATGCGCAGGCTCAGCGGCCATGGCTCACGGGCCCAGCTGCTCCGTGGCATGTGGAATCCTCCTGGACCGGGGCACGAACCCGTGTCCCCTGCATCGGGGGGGACCCATCCCCCAGCCATGTCACCTTTCCATTAATTCCATAAGTAATAAACAAGTGGATGCCTCATTCATTCCTGCACTCAACCAGCATCTGCTTAGCACCTACAATGTTCTAGCAAACATACTAGATATTAGGGATACAGAAAAATGACCCAGATCTGCCCCTAAAGTTCTCCCAATAAACTGAAGGAAATAAAGTCTTTCTCTTAGACTGAAAGAATTTTAATAAAGAGCTTTCAAGCATCACATATCAGGAGAAGTGGGAGGAGAAAAGAAAACATCTTTGATAACTTGGGACTAGGCCCATTTTTTTACTCTTTGCTTCCTTTTTCTCCCCTTTGTATCAGTTATTGAATGCAGTTGCTATTTGTTGGGTCTTTGGAGTGTGTCTGTCACAAACAAGTTGGTGCTCTCAGTACGTAGTGATGTGGGGATTATAAAGGGATTGCGGGGGGTCAGTAGAAGCTGACATAGACAGCGCAAATTCAGAAGCTGAAATGTGCCTCACCTTCCCCAAAAAGCTTCCCTAAGAAATCCCTTCCCAGTGAGTTAACTCCTTCAGCTTCTTCTCTTCATACAGGAGCTTACATATTGCCCATCAGTTCTGGTGTTTTTCTGTTTACTTGATTTACACACTGATTATTAACAATACTAAAAATAATTGGGGCTTCCCTGGTGGCACAATGGTTGAGAGTCTGCCTGCTGATGCAGGGGACACGGGTTCGTGCTCCGGTCCGGGAAGATCCCACATGCCGCAGAGCGACTGGGCCCGTGAGCCATGGCCGCTGGGCCTGCGCGTCCAGAGCCTGTGCTCCGCAACGGGAGGGGCCACAACAGT